GCGGCCGCGCGCCGCGACCGCGCGGCGGCCGCGCGCCGCCGCCAGGCGGCGACGCGGCTCCTGAGCGCCGCCCGTCCGCGGCCGCGGCCGCGGACGCCGCCGCGGCCGCGCGCCACGTGCGGAGCGCGCCGCGCGGAGCCGGCGCGACGTGGCGGAGGCGCCGGATCGGCCGCGACGTCCGCCGCGGCCGCGGGGCCCTCGACGTCGGCGACGCGCGCCTTCCACCAGCGGCCGAGCGCCGGCGCCGCGCCGCGGTGGAGCGCCTCCCAGCGCCGCCGCCACGCGCCAAGGCCCCGCGCGGCGAGCCGCCGGCGCCGCGACCGCGCGCGGAGCGCCGCAAGCCGACCCAGAGTAACGCACATAACTACCATGAGAACCGACGCGCTCCACGCGCCGGCGGCGCCGTCCGCGAGAACCCGCGGCTGCGGCCGTTAGCCGCAGGGCGCCACCCAGGACGCCGGGACGTGGGGGACCTCCGAGTAAGGCCTCGAGTAGGGCAGGGCTCTCTTCCGAGTCGCCGGCGCGGTGCCGCATGCTGTTGGATTGTCGAGCTCCGCCCGCGTCGCGCGCTCCGGCGCCTGTCGGCGCCTTCGGCGCCTTCGGCGCCTCATTTTTTTCTTTTTTTTTCCTTCTTTTTTTTACCCCGCCGTCCCATGACACGGAAAAATTGCCACAATTTTGATTGGCGGCTAGCTGGTCACCAGAGGATCATGGATACCCGGATACGCCAATCGATTTCAGATTGCATTGCCCCAATAGAGAGATAGAAAGATTTCTACCCTCATAACAGGCTAATAGACTAGGGAACGAAGGGGAGACAAATCGATCTGCCGACGCCGATGTCCCTGCGAAATAATCACAACGCCGTCGCGCTGGATTATTTAATCTACGTCGGCTAGAAGGGACGCCGGAGGCTGGCCGGCGCCGGCAACCTGCGCGCCGATTTAATTCCATTTTAAATCAACCATAGCCATTGAATTTCGTCAACATTGACGACAACGATACCTCGACAGCCCGGTCCGCATCGCATCTCCGCATCGCTGCGCTCGACCGACGAGATGCTTGGTGAACTGTTGGACGTCCAGAGCTCCGCGAATATGAAGGGACGTGCAACGATCCCAGTGGCTTCGAGGTCCGCAAACATGTGGGCGAGGCACCTGCGAAGACGCGACATCCAAACGATTGCGAGGTGGCGCAAACGGGCAGCTTCAGGGGGTGCAGTGAGGCTCGGCAGCGTCCCCCGACCCAATTTCGGGTCGCTTTCGAGCCACAGAGCGTCGGGAATCGTTCGTCATGGGGGCCACCAGATGCTCTCGCGACAGCTCCTCGGCTCGAGTCGATTTGATCGAGATCATCTCAGCGCCTCCGACGGGCGCGCGGCGCCGCGGGTGACACGGTGCTCACCGCGCAATGAATGAGACGTTCGGTGCGCCAGTGCTAAGCAGAGACCTCCGGGAAAACATTCCAGGGGTGGCTTACCCAGGGTCTAGCGCACCGCTCGACCTCTGGAACTAAGTTGGGCCCCTCGTCGGTCGCCCACCATCGTTAACGGCCGTTCTCGTCATCCACGGGCTGCCCCGACGCGAACCAAGTTGCTCGCCATCGACCGGTGGTCTTTCCCGAGCGACTCGCAGTCGGGCCCGAGGCGCGGCATGGTCCACAGACCGAGCGCCGCGCCAAGTCCTGGAACCGCTGCATCGGACGCCCAGAAAACCGTGGTCGCAGAAGATACCTTGACTGCATGATTCTGTTTTTCAATGGCCATGGTTGGTCCAAAAACACGATGATGGCATATTAAATCATGCGCCATCTGGCAGTACGGGGACCGCGCAGGTCGCTCTTAGATTAAATCGTAGCCCGATCATCAGAAAACGGGACCTCCGAAACCATAGCGCAACTCTGACTTCGTATTAAACCTCCCTCAGGCTTAGAACTTAAGATGACCTTGTCTTAAGAGTG